ATATATATATATATATATATATATAATATATTTATATATACCGTGCAATGAGGAGGAAATTGGAATAGTCGGCTTGCCTGCCTGTGGCGCGTCCTTCTTCAGCTAGGTCCGGTTTACAGCAGGCCAACTTTGGCAGGAAATGAAGACCACAGCACCAGGTAAGGGTTTGGATTTATACTGGAACCTACGTGCTGTAGCGTTGACCCCAGTCCTCCTACCTCCCGCTTGATATCCTTGTCTTCGCATACCCGTTTGTCAACTAAGCTTGCCGAGGCAGGTGCAGTTATTTAGGAGTTCTGTGGACATGAGGGCATCCGAACGAGGCGGAAAATGGAGACAGAAAGCAGAGCGCTAGTAATACTGTTTCGATGTGTCTTTGCAGTTCCAGGGGAGACCGGTTCTGTTGTATGATTGCCGGGGGAAACATTGAGGCTGTGCGTGCAGCAGTAACGGGTAATTCGATTGCTAAGCGGAATCATGGGCAGAAGCAGCAGCTCTGATGTAGAACAACAAACGAGGACACGTTTAACCTTACTCGCGTTGCAGTCGGTGAAGAGAACCCTAGAGGCATGCTGGGGTTGGTTGGCACCTGCTGAACTGGAATGAGGCTGAAAATGGTATCCGTGGTCACCCTAATTCAGTCTCCTGGATATGGGCTGCCCGCGTGGTCTGCGTTGATTGCTGCGTGCAGAGGACCCTTCCGTGGTGCATGCGACCGGGGAGGGGGGAATGACTGGGCTTCACTTTGCCGCAGACAGGTGTGCTGACAATCTGTGGAACTCCTTTGACTCTCCTTTGCACACATTGACGCGCCATTGTGTTGTGTTCTTGTGCTTTGGCGATACGGGATTCCGTGTGTAAACTAATAACGAGAGCTAGTGCAGAACAAGATAGATAGCGAAACACATAAGGTTATGGGGTTGGGATGAATGTGTCTGCTCAGAGGGCATGCAGAGATTGCCAGGATGCTTCTTGCATGCGGTGAGTAGCAGATGTTGCCGGTGGCAGACCCTTGTCTGCTGTGTAGCGAGTGTTCCTCTTAACAATTGACTCCCTGCAGAAGTGTGCTTGGCCTTGTTTCACCCCAGCCATGTGTTTATACACCGTTCACGCGTTGCACGCCTAGGGGCGATGCAGATTGTGCTTTCGGCGCAGGTGCCAAGGTGAATACGCAGGACGATTGGGGGGAAACACCTCTTCACGCTGCAATTGCAGCGGAGCAGCAGGAGTTGGTCACGATGCTTGTAGAGGCTGGGACTGACACTTCTCTCAAGAACAACGAGGGAAAGAGTTGTGCTGATTTGATGATTGAGGAGGGACACAGGTACAACACTGCAGCACTTCCTCCACTATTTGGTCGTAGAACACGACGTAATTTTGTGTTTTGGGCGGGAGTGTCCGAAACGAGGAGGCAGCGTGGTTGTTGCAGACTTAGACACAAGCTGTATTGCATCGGATGAAATTCCATTGCTACATACCAGTACTGCAGAATTTAAGAAGTGTATTGGGATTTGGTTTTCCTTAGTAGAGATAAGTCGCCGTGTCGTGAATACCCCAGGACCCGGAACATGTGTTCTTTGCCTTCTGTGGCGTGGTGCTGCGGAGATCAGCCTGATTGACTGCAGGCAAAGAGAGCAGCGCTAAAGCAACACCCCACCTTCCTCAAGAGAGCAGGAGCGCGGGGCCTGTGTGACTCATTTCGACTCCGACGGACATCCGCAGCACCACAATCCACACATTCCATTGCAGCAACTTCGCCTCTGCAATGTAGCAGAGTCAGCATAATGAATGCACATTGGCAGCCTGCCTGGATGGGAGTGGCGGCTGCCGTCCTCTCCTTTCCCTGCACACACGTTGGGGCTTGAATCCACCGAACGACAGGGTCAGAAACCCTTACATGAAAAATCGACGCACTTGGCATGATCGCTGCATACAAGCAGGAAAAGAAGTGCCTGCACTGAAATTGCGCCTGAACTGGTGGAGGCAGGTGGCTGTCGACTCCCCTGGCGCTGTGTGTTTAGAGACTGAAGCAGCTGTAGCATACAGCAGAGTTGGTCTCTCGACTTTGTTTTTGGCTTTTGCTACTCGTTCAATATATTCGTGTAGTATCTGTGCTCAACCTGCTTCTTGAATATATATTTTGCCAGTCATTTCCCCGGAGTTGCCTTCACCTTGCACAATCTGTAGTACCTCAGCGGAACCTGTCACAGAATGAAGCGTTTCTTATTCCCGCTATTGGCTGCCGCATGGAACGAGTGCGCATGATTCAGACACATTTCTCTTGGCGCTTTCTCTGGTGTTCCCGCAAAGGCAGCAGTTTAAGAAGCTGCCTTCTTTACGGATGTATTGTCCTATGCCTGGAGCATACCGATTTCACTGCAGAGACGAGTGGGAATTCATCCGCTTCCGAAACAGCAGCATGGCCTACCAACTGCACTGCATGTACTGCATGCACGCAGTACATGCATGCATGCGTGTAAACGGAGGCTCTGGATGAGTGACTCCAGGCTTTTCTCAGTTGTTTCCCTCAAGTGTGTTTTCTGTATTGTTGCTTGCTCCTTTTGCACTGGGTAAATGCGACGCCCGTCAGTTTCATGTTTTGAGCGTTTTTCTGCGTACACTGGATGGGCAGCTCTGCCTCTCTGGCTGCAGAGGAAAAGGGGAATCTTTGATTGCGAAGAGGTACCCGCACAATGCTGACAGGGCTACTACTGTCACTCAGGAAGCGTTCCATCTTGAAACAAGCGGAAGTCATCCTTTTGAGATCATTTAACTACTGGCGCTTCGATCCATTGCACCAACTGTGGTAGGATTTGTCCGACTTTAAGCAGGAGCAAGTGCTCTTATGCACAAAAACAGGCAATTAGTGGCGGGATGAGACTGTTCATGCATTCAACCAGTATCGAAGCCCCCAGGCAGGCAACAAGGGATGCCAAGTGCAACAGTAGGCACCATATCCTACCCTCCTTTATCAACACACGTAGGCACACCTAGAAGGGACGTTGGGTGCATTTACGAGTAAAACATGCACACATATACATGCGTATACCTATTAGTCTTATATACGAGGATTCAAAGATGCACCTGCAGTTGAACTCTGTTGGGCCTCTTCGAAGCTAGAAGGCGACACACCCTGCTGTGTGCACGTATGCTTCAATTAATTAAATAACTAAAGTTAGAAAGGTCTTAATGGAGGCCATAGTTTAAGCAGATATGTACACATGCATGCATGCACTTACCTTCTGCAGTTCCAGAGTACAAGGTGGTGTTGCCACCGTTTCTGAAGGGACCGCTCGGCAATATTTTCCGTATTTTCTCTATTTATTGGCAGTGTTGAATGTGTAGATTGGCCGGGGCAATCTGTAGAAGTGCTGTGCACGGGCGAGAACACAATCGCGTTCCTCCACCATATTGGTCTCTTCTGCTCTCTATGAGCCCCTGATGCATCGTTTTGCAGCTACACACGATCAAGTCGCAAAGCTCCCCATGAATCCTTCATGAAACACCTCCAATACTGTATTGAATTTGTGCTGTACCGGAAGTCTAGCTGTATTATGCCTGGCTGTGGAAAGTTGATTGACTAGTGGTGGTGGGCCGTGCCGGTAGTCTTTGGAGGAAAGTAAATCCTTTAAACATTTGTTTCAAGTTTTTTTGATGCTGTTGGGGATTGCGACGGTTCTCATTGCCAAAAGGAGGCCTCATGTTGTGTGTACCTACGTGTGCAGGTCTTGAGCAGCGAAACGCACAGCTCTGGCCCGCTGAATATGGGGGTGTATGCGGGAGAGTAACTGATTTTACGCCGAAGATTAAATATGAACAAAATACAACTTGAATTGCGGTGTAATTACGGCAAATCGTTGCAGTGGGGGAACAACACATCTCCCTCCCCCCACCTGTGTGGATACAGCTAGTAAGACACTTATTTGCACAGCAACAGCTGTGCAGGTGAGAAGCACATGGGAAATGAGCGAAATGCTGCTCATCTAAACCGTAAAATATATTCAGAATAATGAATACCTAGTGCTAAACAGGACGGGAAGCGAGCAACAGGCTTTTTTGCCTCTGCTGATGGCTGTACTTCATGCAGGTCTTCTTGCACTGGGGGGCCGTTTGCGCGGTAGACCTCTTTCTGGGGTTATCCGTTTTTATTCAAATTAAATGGAAGGACAAAACTTTGTTTGATTAGAATGTGTTCATAGAACAACTCCTCTGCGAACTACAAAGGTAAAAGACATTTTTTGAAGGGAGAATATACCAAGGGCAGCCGGCTGTTTGTTGCACCGACTCCTTCGGTTGCTGTTCTCTGTTGCATCCAGGAGGCATCTCAAGCGCAGCAGGTGGCTCATCTGCCGTGTTGTTTTGATTGTTTTCTTCTTCTCTTTCTCTTTGCTGTATTTATGACGCAGCAGCAGCCATTTTAAGGGGCTGGAGCCGCATAATATTTGTCTCTTGTGCTATTTGAGGCCCTCCCTTTAGAAGGGCGCCTCCTCACGCCGAGGCCCGGGAGGAGAAAGCCAACAAAAGGCCCCCTGTCTCAGGCGTTGTGTCTGCGTCGGCGTTGTGATTTGTAAACAAGCTGCACATTGTTGTTGTTAATAAATAGAGAAGTGATTATTTGCCTCCTTCGAGTCATTCAGCCGGCGTTCCGAGCTGTCTGTTCATCGCAGCTGCAGTGGTCGGTTCAGCCAAAAGGGGTTCTTTTTGCAATTTTCATCGGGCGATAACACATCAGCTCTCGCCTGAAGCGCGGATGCAACCAAAGACGCCCCCAACGCGCCCCTACAATGGAGGCCGAAGGCAGGTCTTTGTCCTCTTCTGCTGGGGGGTTGTCAGCTTCGTGTCTCCCCTCTTTTTTGAACCGGCGCTCGTCCTTCTTCTCTAGATCAAAGGCACCACGTTTCTTCTTCTGCAGCGCCTCCAGAATCTCCAGCTCCTTGCCGCCATGTGTAAAGAAGCCTCTCAAGGTAGTTGTTTGGGGGGCTGTTGCTGGTAAGGCCTTCCTTCGCCTCCTGCAACATCGTACTCATGTTTTCTGCTCGTTTTCTCCTGCTTGTATTCTCTCGTGTGCTCCCTTCCATGGGGTGTTGATCAGTGCGTAGCTTCTTTTTATTGCAAAATACCCGATCCTCTCCCCACCCCAGGAACAGCAGCGTGCGTGCTAGTTAGCCGTTTGTTGTTTGATATCTCCTACTGCTAACCCCTAAGCTCTTGTGGGGATTTTATTCAGTGCATGCAGTTGTCCATGACCTCTGTCTTTCTTTTGTATTCGTTGGTGATTTGTTAGTACTATTTCTGCTGTGTGTTCGTTCTGTTTCTCTGCTTTGTCTGTCCGTTTGGCTGCATATCTATGTTTGCTTGTTGGTTGATGTTTCAGTGTTTGTTCATTCATCGTTTTCCTCCATTTGCTCCATTGAGCGCTACATTGTGTCTTCTTCTCTTCTTGCTGCAGCACTAACGGCCTCGTCTTTTTGGGCGCAAGAGAGCGAAGATCCATGTCTCCCCCTGCTGCTGCTTTTAACTTCTTCTTTTGTTGCTATTCGTTGCAAAATGCACAATACCTTCCTTTATTATTTCAGCCTCGTTGCATGCAGCACAGGAGGCAGCAGCAAAGCCCCCCTTGCCTCACTCCCGGTGAAATCCCAAACCCTAAGCCTTAAGCGCCCAATCCACCTTGCCGCCAGAATGCAAGCACAGCGCTTGCAGACCCAACATATTAAGTTCTTTTGTCGCAGTTGCGCATAAAGAACTCCACTGCCTTGAGAATCATCAGAGTCTACGGCAAGGGTTTAGGGTTTTGCGTTGTTTGTTTTTATGCAGTCTGTGGGCGAGCTGGGGGCCCTTGTTAGCGCTGTGTTGTTGACGCGTTCTTCTTCTTGTTGTCATCATAGCGCGAGGAGGGACAAAACAGTGTCTGGCTTGGTATTGTTCAGAGTAAGACTGTCTACCCTCCCATCTGTTTTCTCCCTGTCTCCTCACTTTCTCTTCCACCTCTTTTCTTTGCCAGTTCTGCGTGTCTATCTCCCCTCGGTCCGTTGCTTGGTGGAGGCAAAATATATGTTTATTTTCTTTATGTAAAGTGCAATCAAGACAGACAACAATATTTGCATGTCTGAGGCAGAAATAATTGCTGCATTCTTGCTGTTTATTTGTATACATTAAGTGAGAGATTGTATACGTGTGTCGTTAGGTCTTCATATGCATTTGTTTCTCGTAAGGTGTGATTGTGTGTCTCTGTGTATTTATTTGTCTTTATCTGTGTTTAGGTGTATTTGTTTATCATATGTTACATTTATTTATTTTTAATTGGGTATATTGATGGGCATTTGGCTGTCCTTCGGTTTATTTGCTCTTGGGTGTAGTTGCATTCTCATTTCTCTTCCTGTTTGTTCGTTTCTGTTTATATTTATTCGCAGTTGTTTTTCCGTTTGTTTGTTTTTATTTGTACTCGTGTGTGTTTGCACTTGTTTACATACAGTTTCTTGTTGTTTGTATATTTCCCTATATATTTATATAATTTATATATAATAATATTATATATAAATATTAATTTTGTGCGTGTGTGCGGAGCAGATGGCAGTTCGTCGGCTAAGTGTATGCTTGCCCGATCCTCTTCTTTCAGTTTGTCACTTTTTCCCCCTCCTTTTCTTTTGGTTCTGTGCCTGGCGCTCTCCCACTTCGGGAGATGCGAAGAGAAGAACCCCTGAATCCCATGGGAGGACCCCTGAGGTTTCTGCTGCATTGCTGCTACCCTGTGAGGACACTTCCTGCTGGAAGGTCTCGGGCTTAGCTCATTCTCTTCGGCTTGTTGCAGCATTGACAGAAGGATGTGTAACAATTTGCAATGCTCGCCGTCGGGTTATTTGGGCCTTTCCGGTCGCTTCAGCCAAACAGTGGGGGCCCCTTAGAGGCCCCCTGAAGGCAGCATTGGGAGGGGGGGGCCCGGGGGCCACAGGAGAAGAGGCAGAAGTCCTCTGCGAAGACCTCGTGCATCCGGAAGATCGAGAGGCGGTTATTAAGGCCTTCGAATTAGCGGAAGAACAAAGGAAAATGAGTGGTGGAGAGGGGACCCAACAGCAGCAGGAGGAGCAGCAGGATAAGCAGGAGGGGCAGCCGGGCAAGGAGAAGAAGGAAGAAGGAGAGGGGCGGCAAGGTGGAGAAGGAGGGAAACAGCAGCAGGTGGAGGGATCGGATACAGAAGAAGGGACTCCCGAGACGCCAGTGGTGTTGGTGAGGCCAAATGTGTGCAGGGAGGAGGAGGAGAGGGAAGCACGCCTTTTTCGTCTGTCTGTAAGCGGATGCTGTGGGGCATCTTCTCTCTTCATCTGTTTGTGGAATGATGCAACGAGACAGAGACACAGTGCAGCAGTACAGGAGGCATTGGTATACGGGCTATCCGACTGTATGTCCACTGTTGTGTGGGTGCTCGACCCAACAGCAGCTCCAGAGCAAGCAGATGCTGCGGCTGCTGCTGCTGCTGCAGCTGCAGCTGTTCGAGAGGCAGCGGCTGCCGCTGCCGCTGCAGCTGTAGATCCGGCCGCCCCTGCTGCGGCAGCGGCAGCAGCGGCAGCGGCCGCCGCTGCAGCCGCTGCTGCGGCTGTAGATCCGACCACCCCTGCTGAAGCAGCGGCAGCTGCA